TCTTCAAAGTTAAGGGAAAATATAGCCACATAAAAATACAATTGGGAACCTAAAGATTAATAAGTTAGGTTAGTGTTTTGAGAATCAATTAGGTATTACCCCTGAACTTTTAGCTAACATTAAATTCTGTACCCCAAAGTGTCGTACTAGAATCACCCCGTTATTCGCTACTCCACCGCATGTTACTTTGTATGAAGCAAATGCAATTCTGACTCGGTTACCTGTCATATATAACAGACTTTTTAGTGGTATAGCCATTTTCTCAAATACTAAAAGCGCTGTCAAAACCAATATAATTTCCAAATTAAAGTATCAACACAAATAGCCGCCTTGCACACACTTTCCGGGCTGCATCATACACACGACACATACTTGGAATGACACTAGCTGGACCCCCACGGAACAATCCTGGAACACTGCATTGAAGACAGTGTCTACAGATAAGTTAAGGTGGGCCATTAACAGCTTCCAGCCATTCAATGCAGCCGGACCAGATGGCATCTTTCCGGCGCTGCTTCAATGGGCAGGTGAAGCACTAATCCTTATCCTGGTGCCCCTCCTGAGAGCGTGTCTTGCATTTAGATACACCCCGAAGCTCTGGAGGGAGGTCAAGGTAATCTTCATACCAAAACCGGGTAAGGCAGACTACAACGAGGCGAAATCTTTCAGACCAATAAGTCTCTCATCATTTCTGCTAAAGACCCTGGAAAGACTGTGCGACAGAGAGCTGAGAGACAACCAACTAGTCAATATTCCACTACATCCGAACCAACACGCCTATAGTCCAGGCAAGTCGACAGAATCTGCACTACATGCAGTCGTAAGTAAAATAGAGGATAGTCTCAGACGGAAAGAGCTATGTCTGGGCACCTTTATAGACATAGAAGGCGCGTTTGACAAAACAAGCTTCGCCAGCATAGTAGACGCACTTGGCAAACACGGAGTCGATGAGACCATTATATATTGGGTAAGTAACATGCTCCGTAACAGACTAATCAGACTACAAGACGACAACCATCTCAGAGCATTGGCGACTAAAGGATGCCCTCAAGGAGGAGTACTGTCGCCTCTGCTATGGAATGTAGTTGTAAACGACTTAATTACCAAACTAAACAACCTTCACTTCCACACGATGGGCTACGCGGACGACCTTGCAATCATAATTCCGGGTAAGTTTGCGAGCACCGCCTGTGATGTTATGCGAGGGGCAATGAAGGTGGTTGAAAAATGGTGTGACGACTACGGCCTTAAGGTGAACCCAGTGAAGACGGAATTGGTCATGTTCATGAACAAAAGATCATTAGGCGACTATCGGCTACCGAAACTATTTAACACGACACTGAGGCTCTCCAACGAGGTAAAGTATCTAGGAATAACCCTAGACTCCAAACTGAACTGGGGATCCCACATAGACAAAACTACAACGAAGACCAACATCATTTTCTGGCAATGTCGCAAAATGATTAGCAAAACTTGGGGACTATCACCGCTCATTGTTAAGTGGCTGTACACGACCATAATTAGGCCCATCATCAGCTATGCAGCAGTAGTATGGTGGACCAAGACAATTCAGGTAACGACAATTAATAAGTTAAGACGTCACCAGAGGCGGGCTCCACCGGCTGCATGAAAACCACTCCCACACCAGCACTGGATACAATACTTAACGTGAGACCACTCCACTTGTTCATACAACAGGAAGCTGCATGTACAGCCACGCGCCTAAGCATGCTGGGGCTTTGGAGAGACAACAACTCCCCGCACACCAGCATCTTAGCAGACATACACAGGCACTTTCCGTACTTTGCAGCAGGAAACGACCTTATTCCTAAGACGTACGTATTTGACAAAAAATACAGAATTCAACTTTATGAAGAGACCCCGGACCGTTGTCTGCATAAGGAGTTGAGGGTCTACACAGACGGTTCAAAAACCAACTGTGGTACGGGCTCGGGTGTCTTCTCCGAAGACCTGAATATACACATCTCGACAGCTTTGGGTGCCTATAACACGGTCTTCCAGGCAGAGTGTGTGGGCATCATCAGAGCTTCTGAGGCGATAGAATGTCGCGGGGTAAGAGGAAAACATATTCGTATTCTCTCTGACAGCGCTTCTGTCCTACAGGCACTGGACAACAATATAATGACATCAGGCTTAATTTACGAATGCCACAGTAAGTTGAATAATATTGCTAACGACAATAGATTGACCTTACAGTGGATTAAAGGACACAGCGGCTCAAGGGGTAACGATGCGGCGGACTGCTTAGCCAGGGAGGGGTCTAGCAGGACGGCCATTGGCCCGGAGCCAATTATACCCATACCCTATGGGCAGCTGCGATCCTGGATAAGGGAGCGCTCTCAACGACAACACGACGATTACTGGTCAAAACTCACGGACTGCAGGCAAGCCAGGGAAGCCGTTCCTAAGGTAAACCTGCAGCTGACACGTAAGTTAATCAGACTACCTAGACAAGCCCTAAAACAAATCGTGGGTATACTCACGGGTCACGGCTACTTCAACAAACACCTTTGTAATATAGGTATTTCTGACAGCCCTCTGTGCAGAGCCTGCCTGGAGGCGGATGAGACGAGCGCCCATGTCCTACTGGAGTGCAGGGGCGTTGCAAGACAAAGGACTTCTCTAATGGGAAGCCCGAAGACAATAGTAGAGGCCTGCAGCAACATTCGGGGACTGCTGAGCTTTCTGGAGGAGCTGGGATGGCAGGACTGATGCCAATCCCCACGCAAAATAGGCACTAGGTGTCGAGTTGCGGAAACAGCCCGCCGTACTACTAAGACTAAGACTAGCCGCCTTGCAACGTTCTCACGCGACCTGGCATTATTATATGCACACCAACATGTAACCTTAGTTTAGCCTGCACAACGACAGTTCTTGTACCTAATTTAATTCGTAGAAACCTGTTATGTTTAATTGGCCATTCTTATTACTAAGTTCAATTATGTAATATCTATTACGTATCACTGTTGGTTTTTCAAAAATAAATAAATAAATTATTTTTTGATGTTCATTTAAATATGAGCCAAAGTTGAGCAAAGGACAGTTAAACATTGTGTGATCAAATGTGCATAATCTCAAGCTTCTCCATGCTTCGGAAGGCATATCAAACAATTATTCCTGGCTACACATAGTACCTATATCCCTATTCACACTGGGCCTGCATGATGGATCCTGGTCAATTACTACTACTACATAGGGAAGGCATATGCCCCAGCAGTGGGGACATTAATAGGCTAATAAAGTTGCAATAAATAACTGATTTATATTATCATGCCTCATACTAAATAGAACTAGTTTTAACGGGTAAATGCACAAACTTTATTTATTTAGTACAAATAAATAAACTCAAAATTTCAAAAAAGAATTTTAAATGAAGTACTTTATTAACTAATAAATTCATACATAGACAATAAAGTTTTAAAAATCATCCAATGAAATATCCGAACTCTCAATAAAAGTCTTTCGAAGGTAGCTCGACAAAGTAAATAAAAAATCATTATTCTGACAATGCAGACCTGAAAAGGCTGCAAAACATCAATAAATAAATAAAGTTTCTGCATTAACCCGTTAAAATTAGTTTTATTTAATGAGTGATGTGCGTGAAAACCTAAGAAACAAATATGCCTCATACTGCTTATTAAGATTAGGATAAAGTATGAAGTTGTAGCCACTCATTGTCACACCTGAACATGCTTGTATAGCTAACATACATTCATATGAGTTAGTTAAAATGTGATACTAGATATTTAGTGGAAATGCAAACAATTATTATCACACAAATAAAACACCCATCTCTCCTGCAACTTAGGCCATTAGTTGGCAATTAATTCAATATATATAATTTTTTTCCAAAATAATGGTAAAAATGCTTTGTGCTTTATATGCAAAAATAAAAGCTTTAAATTCTAATTAAAAAAAGTAAGTTAGTAGGTCAATAAAAGGAGAATCATTACAGCACTGCTTTTAGTTTTGTTTTAAAAAGAAAGGCTAATTTGTATATTAAGGGAATGTCTGTTAATATAATTTCCTCGTTATTCTGTCTAGTCTGTTAATATAATTATCAATATATTTATGACGACCTCCTTGGAGGAGTGGTTTGAACACCGGGTTTTATGGTGACGCTGACTTGAGCGGTCCCGGGTTTGAATCCCAGTGGGGGCAGATGTTTGTGTGATGAATACGAGCATTTGTACTCCAGTCATGGAAGTTTAATATGTATTTCTATATAAATATACTCATATATGTACAGTATATGTATTCTATCCGTTAGTATCCCATAACACAAGCCTTATAGTGCTTAGCTTAGGGCTAAGCTAATTGGTGTGTGTTGGAAATATTTATTTATTTATTCATCATCTTAAACAATGCTCTTCCTTATTTGCTTAAGCAATTTTTTAGAAAATAATTGTGTGATTGTAAAAATTAGGTGTTTGCTGCAGTAAGCAAGCCTTATAGTTGTAGCACAAGGATTAGTGTAGAAAGTACCCAATTTAGATTATTTTGCAGAACATGCGAGATAATAGTGAAACTTCTTATAAAATAAATACAATGTGCCTTACAAATTCCACCTGCAACGTCACATTATCATCATTATTAGCAAGGGTGGATACAGCTTTGGCGCCAGGGGGGGGTCATATAGCCAGCTTTGGCGCCAGGGTGGGGTCATATAGTCGTGGTATATTAAATATTGTAAGTACTTAAATAAAATCCCCCTGGGTTTGGTCCATCTGTACCCAGCCCAGGGGGGGTCATGACCCCCATGACCCCCCCTGGATCCGCCCTTGATTATTAGCCTATTAATGTCCCCACTACTGGGGCAAAGGCCTTCCCTGTGTATGGAATACCCATTAAATTTGGCCGAATCTTATCATATTTCGTGCACTCACTCTCAACTCAAAAATATAGACAAAAAATTACTGTATGTTTCCCAAATGAAAATAAATAAATAAAAAATGTATGAAATCTTAACAAAGACTTACCATATTCCTTATACAGCTTCTTATATTCACCGAGATCATTTTGGTCAAGCCATTCGTCCACCAGTGCAGTTTCGTCTTCAAATATCTCCGTCAATGCTACTCTTCCCCAATATAAAACTGAACACAAAACTAATGTTGTGCCGAAATTGTTTACTCGCTTATACATATTCGGTTTAGTCATAACATTATAATTTTATCTTTATGAATTTGTATTTATTTAGGGACGGCCAAGTTTGTTTTGGTGAATTTATTGAACACTTTGACTTTGACAGTTGACTGACTGGATTTGACATTTCTCTTTCGTTCCGTTTCCCCTATGAAAACGAATTTATAAATAAAGTTCCGTTTCCGATTTTCACATAATACACACTCTCTGTTAACTAAGTTGACTCTAATGAGCTATTTTGGAGGATGATTCGATTTTAAAATAACAATAGAACTAGTTTTTTACGGGTTAATGCACGAAACTTTATTTATTTATGGACGTTTCGTAGCCTTTGCAGGCTACGTCGCGTCGTCGGAATCAAATTTTATTTAATTTTGTCGAGCTACCTTCGAAAGACTTAGCCTGTAAAGGCTACGAAACGTCAATAAATAAATAAAACTAGTTTTATTTAATGAGTGATGTGCGTGAAAACCCAAGAAACAAATATGTTTAAAATAACAAGTTCAATTTGAAGCACAATGGTGTCGATTTAGGCACGATTCTCTAAACTTTAAACTGAATTTAACATCTCTCTTTTTCATTTTGTATAGAGAATGATAAGGATACGCTGTTGTTGTTGACATTAATGAACTAAGCAATGCCCGTGTGAATTTGACCACAGTATAGAAAAAAAAACGTAAAGTAGCCGCGCATGATGTGATATGATGCTAACATTTCATAGATTATAAGCTAGTACCTACCCGCACGATCGCTTCTTCTCGCTCACAGTTTTCTGCAGTATTTTTTTACAGCCGCTTAAACAAAACTGAGTTCGTTCTTAATACCTATGTATGGGACCAACCATACATCATTAAAAACCACTTATTTGCTCTGGGTCCGCCCGATTGGTTATTTTCCATATACATTCTAATCGGCGAGCCAACATTGGTGTCGATTCTGGCATGATTAGCTAAACCTAATCTTAAATTTGACAACAGTGTATCCTTGCCATTCACTATACAGAATGAAAAGGAGAGACTTATCTTAACTCTAATTTAGTTTTAAGTTTAGAGAATCATGAATCAGAGAGAATAGACACCAATGCCACACCAAGTAGGCTTTAGCTTTTCATTTAACAAGAGCCATCCACCCAAAGAGGCTGATTTTATGAAGATGCTCAATGTAGAATGACATGTAGTAATTGGTTGTAGTTAAGAGCTCATCGCCGGATTATGTGATCACTGTCTTGTACGACTGATCATCAATAGGCGCGTCCACACAGAGAGTAGCCTCGCGAGGAAACTGTCCCCAAACGAGCACGACAGCCTAGAGGCTTGGCGCACGGCAAGCCCGAGCCATTGTATTCGTTCGTTCAGTAGAGTACTAAGACATCATGGTAGTCGTATGTGTTGAAGTGGCATGCTTGAACGAGGCATGAAACAAAATACGATACCAAAGCGTGTGCGAGGCAAACGACTGAGGCGCCTTTGACAAAAACAAAAAGCCGACACTCGATGGCTCAGGTGCTCGGTCCCTCTCCCGTGGGAGCCCGCGCTCTTGCCTCGGCCAATGTACGTCCACACAAAACGAACGCTGTCTTGTCCAGTCTATCAAGTATAAAAAAAATATTTAAAATAAAAACAATTGTTTGTAGTTGTAAAATTTGTATTACATTGTAATTGATTGGTTTATCACAAGAAATGCCTCAACAGTCTATAATCTGTGTAAAGCTAACGACAATCACATGAATCATGTGAGATCTTATATTCTAAATGTGAGAGGATATGTGTAGCATTGAATTTTACTTTTTGATCTTGAGCTTATCAGCAAGAGAACAAGACAAACCGGTGCCATCAGGTTCTACATTTAGTTCAACAACTTTGCTGTCATCGATGACCATAGAGAAACGTTTAGATCGGAAACCACCAAGTGGTGGGAGGTTGGTGCCGAGGTCCAGAGCCTTAATAAACACGCCATTGGGATCAGCTAGCATGCGAACCTAGAAACAATTAAAAAGTTATTTTAAAAAAGCTCTTAGAAAGTGATGGTTTTATTTTAAGACCAATAACGAAATGAACTCAATTATGAGAAGGGCTTCATCATAAAACACTGATGTTTTCAGTGACTGTTAATAAAATTGGAATACTGTTCTCAGTTACATTTCACCACTAAGCAGTCTTAAAAATACTAACTGATCAAGTCATAATAACATTCAAATAATGCCAAATTGATAACAAAAGAAGGGAAGGAAGTTTGTCTAACTTAACTGCAATGAACCTTGAAACAATCACTTCCCATATAAAAAGTGTGAAGTATTTATACTTAGCTACTTAACCCTATAGTAGTATAGCTAAACTGCAGCTGAAGACTCATTAAAGTTATGCATTGACATTAAATAAATAAAGACCAAAATTAACTTAATATAACTGTTTATTTTAAGTAGAATTAATAAATTCAAGTAACTTCATTCAACTTCACTTCATTATAAATAACTGGCCTAGCTGACATAACAATTATATGCCTATACATAAGTAATAACTTGACTCGGGGCACTCGAACCTATTTCCATGTAGGTATAATAAAGTTTATTTTCAAATTTAAAAATATCTACTACATAAAGTAAATACATTACATAATATCAACAATTCTTAATTAAGATCATAAAAAATAAGAAAAATACACAAACAATATTGATTGCGTCCCATTAGCTCACGAATTATCTATGGGTTGAAGGTCAGCTTGCTTAATTATGCTTTCATGGCTGTTGCTGTGGGACTTATTCGTATGTTCTCGTATGTTCTATATCAATAAATATATTATTCAAATTTGATCTAGTTAATGATGAATATATCTAAATGTTATTAATAGAATGATGATTTTAACTATTTATGAATGATATTTTTACTTACCTTTCCCTTGGTGTTATGCTGATTACCCCAAGCTGACATCACATAGGGATCGTTAACAGAGACGCAAACTATGTCTGAGACGCCTTCGGACTTCATTTTATCAGCATTCTGAACGTATCCTGGCAAGTGGGTCTTTGAACAGCCAGGAGTGAAAGCGCCAGGCACTCCGAACAGAACCACTTTCTTGCCAGACGTCAAATCGCAGATGTTCACTTTATTTGCCGGTGAATCCTCAAACAAATCTGCCGAGGGGATTTGGTCTCCAACCTACAAAAACAGGATTTCTTTCGGTAACTCCAGACTTCCAGTTATGTAATTACGTTAAAAAAATCTAGGTATTACCTTAACGGGCGCCATAACTAAAGCAGTTGTATGTACTGAACGGCAGGTAGATTCCTTAGCGAATGCCGATATTCCGCGTACAATTGATCGGCACGGACGCAACATTTGTAGGTAGTTGATTACAGTATTTATACCCTTCGTCAAACGGTCTATCGATCCGATCAGCAGACGTGATGTTAAAATGCAATGTTTTTATAGCATTACAAGGTCAACGTTGTCATTTGTCACTATGACATTGACAGTTTCCGTGGAGTCTTTTTAATTTATTCTTTAAGTAAAGGCCAAAAATATGTGGTTTATACGGTCTTTTGTATTTTTTTATATGCCTGTAAAGTATGTTTTCATTGCTTTCTCAGATAAATAATTCCTAAAAGAAATTCAAGTTGCAGGTGCAAGTATCTTTTGCCTTCCTAGTTTCCTACATAAGTAAAATCATAAAATCCTAGAAATCTCTTACATTGAGTATGAAACTTGATGATTTATTGTTATTCAGAGAAAATAATTTGAAATCTTGATGGTAGTGGTGCCTCAACTGACAAGAGTATCCTAAATTCCGTTTGATCTATGGTTTGATCAGATGTCTTGCGAATTCACAATAGTCTCTAAGAACGTGCACTGCGTTAAATTGGGTACGGAGCGGACTGCGGCATTTCAGTCCTATCATAAAGCATGATAAATACAGACCGTTATCAAGTTTATAAATAGCAAATACAATAATAACATTCATGTTAAGTGCCGGCATTTAAAAAAACCTTGGCTTGGTGGTGTTTATTTTGTTTTTGTTAATGCCACATGGATGGCTGTGCGTGGATGTAGGCGCTTAGCCAATTGCACAGACTACTAAGGGGATGGCCCACAGTCTGTGAATTGAATAGAGTTGGCAACATTTTGCATCATATGTGTCAAATTTATTCCTTCGTGCTGTTTGTCGGAGAATTCGTTCCTCATACTGTTACTTATTTTTTACAATAATTGTGAGTTGTAGTTATGAAAGTGAATGGTTTTTGTTTAGTGAAAGCAAAGCTGTGAAAATTTGTACGTATTCAGTAACATGGATACTCCCAACATGGACACTGTGTACCAGGCCATAAGCGCCCTTTATGATAACCCCAACGCAAGCGAAAAGGAAAAAGCATCCCTTTGGCTTGGGGATATGCAGAAATCTGTGAGTATCTTATTATATAGTTCTAAAGTTACTATATGTAACCATTTCTTTTAAATGCGAAAGGTATAACAGGTTGATAAAAAAATGGACATTGAATAAATGTAAATGTATACCACTTTCTACTTATTTCACACGGTTGTTTTCCAGATACACTCTTGGAAGATAGCTGATGATCTGCTACAACAGAAAAAAGACATTCATTCTTGCTATTTTGCTGCCCAAACTATGAGATCTAAGGTGCAACACAATCTATCCGAACTGCCTTCAGAAGCTCTTATTTCTCTTCGTGATTCTCTGGTAGCACACTTGGAAAGGACTTCACCAGACACAAGTGCTGCTATTCTCACCCAACTCAGTCTTGCATTAGCTGATTTAGCACTACAAATGCCCTCATGGCAAAATTGTATAACAGATTTGATAACATCATTTTCCAACAAAAATGATTATGCTCTTTTAGAAATTTTGACTGTATTGCCCCAAGAAATAGATTCCTCAAATTTGAAACTTGGTGAAAACAGAAGAGAAGAGGTCAAGCAGGAGTTAAGGGCTAGTGTCCATATTGTGAACTTATTTCTAAAAGGAAGTATTGTGAATTCGCAAAATACTCATGTAGCATTAAAAGTTATAAAATGTCTGACATCGTGGATACAAGTTAGAGCTATTAACATGCAAGAAATACCTGAAAATGATGTAGTAGGACTAAGCTTACAAGTGTTAAGGGATCACAGTTCAATAAATATGTTACATGATGCAGCTTGCGACTGCATCTGTTCATTACTTCACTGTTTAGAGGACAATAACAACTGTGAGGATGTAGAGAAGTTGTTATTTGAGAGTGTGTCGGCTCTAGAGGAAAGCTATCACATGGCAGTGGCTCATGAAGAAGAAGAGAAGGCGGCCAATTATGCTAGAGTATTCACCGAGCTGGCAGAGTCATTTTTAAGTAAAATTGTAAATGCAGCAGCTAATGGAAGTACTCATTTTGCCATGAGATCCTTAGAATTAGCTCTTGTGTGTGTGGGCCATCATGACTATGAGGTACTAATCATTTTTATTTCAGAAAACATAAACAATACAATCATTTACACACTTACTAACCAAATGAACTTTTTAAATATTATATTTTTATTCAGATTTGGTAGTATTTTATTATTTTGTTTAAAAAATGCTGTATTATATTTTAGCACATTATTAAGTGACATTCTTCTCATGAATATACATATTTTATTAATATTAAATAGATAAATTCAATTTACAGGTAGCTGAAATTACTTTCAACTTGTGGTACAAATTGTCAGATGAAGTTTATCAGAGAGACTACCAGCCTTTAACAGATGCATTTAAACCACACATTGAGAGGTTGATTGAGGCTTTGGCAAGACACTGTCAGTGTGAACCGGATCAAGCGCAACTGCCTGATGAGGGTGAGGAGTTCTTTGTAAGTATACCTGTGCCTAATATTTATAAAAATAAACAGTGAAAGAGTATGATAGCCACTTGTGATATAACATCCACTCAACTTATAAATTATTAATCTGATATAAAATTGTTTACTATGGTTATGTATGGATGTATATACACCAGCTTAATTAACATAACACAGATATTTTAAGCATTATTAAGTTTCTTTTAAATTTTAACAAATAATTTCATTTTGATAAAAGTGTTTATAATTTGAACTTAATTTCCAGGAGTTTCGTGTGAAGGTAATGGGCCTCATAAAGGATGTGGTGTTTGTTGTCGGATCCAGCTTTGTGTTTCGACAGATGTTTGCGACTCTCCACGCTGACATCTCCTGGGAGCAGACTGAAGCTGCACTGTTTGTGATGCAGGCAGTTGCCAAAAACATATTACCGTAAGTGAATGAAGATGGATAATGTGAAGTGACATTACGAATATGGGGGACTTTTGAGGGGTGAATTAGAAAATTAAAAATTCTAACTATACTATGTTATATATGAAACGAAAGAGCTCAATGTGTAGGTTTCAAAAATATTTTTTTACAAAATAATGTAAGATTAATAGTTTATAAATTATTGAAGAAAATACATAAGAAACCATTTTTCCCATATTGCCGAAAAACTGTGACTATAAATTAAAAAAATAGGAATGTAGCTCTTTGCTTGTAGATTACAGTGGTACGAAAAACTTCATGCGTGATTGCGACTCCAACTTGGCCTGTTTTTTTTTTACTAATTGGCTCCCTATTGGTGTTGTTCTGGGACGATTCTTGATAAAAATCAACATACAAGTGACAAAATTCTTAAATAGTATTTTTAACTTCTTGTTTAAAAATTAATTTTATTAAGAATCTCTGTCATAGAGTGGCTATTTACGTGAAATTGCCGGAAGTGTCGTTGAATCCCAATAAGAAGATTCTTTAAACTTAAAACTAAATTTAACTTCAGTCACTCCTTTTCATTCTGTATAAAAAATGACAAGGATACACTGTTAACAAAGTTAAGTTTAGGTTTAGATAAACGACATCATTGGTGTCGATTCTGACATGATTCTCTAAACCTAAACTTAAATTTGACAACAGTGTATCCCTGTCATTCTCTATACAGAATGAAGAGGATAGACTGATGTTATATTTACTTTTAAGTTTAGAGATTCGTGCCAGAATCGACACCATTGTGTATCCAATTTTAAGACTAGCAGATACATACTTACTGCAATTATTAATTATTTTTTATGCAATGAATTGTGATTTGTGAACTAGACGAAAAGCGTGGGCCGATTTCTTTGGTCAAGAAATTGGTCATACAAAGGTTAATCGTCCAGCCATGACTTTGTTGACTGTACATTGCAGAAATTCTGCTAGTTACTATCATCATCAGCTTATCAATGTCCCCACTGTTGGGGTACAGGCCTTCCCTATGGATGGAATGGGTCATACATGACCCACCGGTGCGGATTGGTGGGTGCTAACGACTGCAGATGCAGCCGGGACCAACGGCTTAAATTGCCTTCCAAAGCACTTAGGAACTCGAGTTACAAGATGTTTGGTCACCCATCCAAATGACCGACCACTGCGAAAGTTGCTTAACTTCAACGATCGCAGCCGAACGCGCTAACCACCCGTGCCATCGAGCTCCTAGTTACTATAAGATCTATAAAATACTTATCAATATACGTATAAATAAAATAAAAAAGCTTTTTATTCCATATCCATTAGTTACTTCTACATTTTATTTATGTTATTAGTATTTGTTAGTATAGTTTCAGACATGGATTCCATCTGGGTAAAAGCCTCCTCCATTGCTTTCCACTTTTCTGTATCTTTCCCCGCTTTCAGCCAGTCTTTGCCTGCCACAGACACAATATCGTCGGACCATCGTTTTCTGGTCAGATTCAGAAAACGATGGTCCAATATACGTATAGCAACATAATATGTCATTTTCTATTTGCAGCGAAGAGTACGAATACGTTCCGAAAGTGGTTGAAGCCATCCTCTCGATGCCCGAGAACAGTCACCCGGCAGTGCGGAAGACCTGCATCTTACTGCTGGGGGAATTGTGCGAGTGGATCGAGCAGCATACTGAAGCCCTGGAACCGAGTCTTGGCTGCTTGATCACTGCACTTAATGATGAACAACTGGCGTATGCAGCTGCGCTTTCCCTACAGGTAAGCCTTATTCTAGCAACGAAAATCGTTTTCAACGAGCATGTAAAATATAGGACGTATTTAACTTCACTTAGAGGTTAATAGTACTAGGGTTTATTGAGTCCGTCAGTGATATTATCAAAAAATTAATGGACATGAATTTTCTTTTGCCGATCAACCAAAATATTGTAAAGAGAAAGCGCGTAAAAGTTTGTAAGCGAGGGCTCGTGACGTCACTTCTAAGTAAAAAAATTACCGGTACGCCATGCGACATTTCAAATGAATAGATCTCTGTAATGTTTTAGTTATTGGAATTAAAAAAGTGTCTCCAATTATTTTTGATAATCTACCTAATAGACGTAGAATAATCACCCTTCTTGCTTCCTGGTTAGAAGAGTTTAGAAGGGTGAAAATAGACCGTTTGTACGGGATGTCGCCAGATCACCCCCACTACACTTCCTAGATAAAAGCCAATCAAAGGACGCGACAGCGACGCACACAACTGAGAGCAACGACACGACAGTTTTGGTCAATTAATGAGCATTTGCTCATACGTAAGAGTGGCGCGCTTGCCCCACCCACACCCCTTCTAACCTGTGTTCTGTGGGCGGGGGGGGGGGGGGGGGGGGAGGTTTGAGTGGATATAGCAATACACTGAAGCTCTGGAACCAAGTCTTGGCTACACAAAACTCTATGATTAACAATTAGCATATGCAGCTGCTCTCACAGACAGCTATGTGTGCTTGTGCGTGCAGCTGTATGTGATTTTAATATCATTTTCTTAAGTAGAACGATGAAATTATATTAATTTGTCTTTGTGCTTTATTTCTACCTTTTTTCTGAATAATTTGGATATCCTGTTGATCCCCATTGAAAATGTAATAGGGGTGATGACAGGGTACAGTAAACGAAATTCTATTTAGTCCGTCAGTTAGATGATCAAAAATTAATGGACACGTATTTTTTCTTTGGGCAATCAACCAAAAAATGACAAAGTTACAAACTTTAAGTGTAAACTTTGTCATTAGTTTGGGAGTAGGGGCTTGTGACGTCACTTTTTAGTGAATTTTCACTTAAAAGTGTACCAAAACGTGACGTCATGCTACTTTTCAAAACAATATATCACTGCAATGTTTATAATATGTGAAAAAAGAAAAAATACGTGTCCAATACTTTTTGATAATCTACCTGATAAACGAAGAAAAAAAATAGTCATCATCCCTATTGTGCTAGGTCATTTTAAATAACGTGTGTTATCGCGCGCAGGCCCTCCTTCTGTGGGACTCTTAAGCCGCGTTGACATGCTCAAAGTCGGCTTTGACAAAATAAAAACTTTGATTGTGTAAAACAGTAATCAAGATTTTTGGCGTCTAAAAGTAGGACTTGGAGCTGGTTCAACTTTTTAAGCCAACTTTGATATGAAAGAGCGAAACAAAATGGCGTCTAATGTAAAACCGGCCAGTTGCGAGTCGGACTTGGCACGAGCTGTTCCGTACCCATTTATCTATACAAAATTAGACAATATATAATATCTAGCAAAAAACGGCAAAAAGCACGTCTATGGTTTATACCATAGACTGATTGGAGCTCCCCTTAAATATTTGTTTTATACAGTTTTAGTGTGAAAATTTCAACTGCCTAGTGACAGACGGACAGCGGCGAGTCTAAGTAATACGATCCCGTTTATACCCTACGGGTACGGAACCCTAACTATGACATCTTGCAATAAAAGAAAGCGCAGTGAGCGGGAAACTCAAATTCCCAGAATAGGGTATTTGGCATGTTTATGGAGTCCGTTAAAAGTGGATATTCATCATTCTGTTGTGTATTTCAGTAAAAATAACCAAATCAAAAACTCCATTTTCAAGTTGCCGCGAAAACGTTTTTCTGGACAATATGGCGCCTTACTAGTGTGTGACGTCACACGCCTGTTATTAAAACGTCAAACGATACAATGTAATGTCACTTTAACCGGAACTTTACTTGCGTGTGACCTCATTTTAGGCTCCGCCAATCCCAAGCGTTTTGGGTCACGTGACAATAGATAAGAAAACTATTATCTTTTTCTGGGTTTTTAGTAAAATTATGATTTTTTTTAAATAGTAAAACCCCTGCCAATATTCATTCTAAACACAGATGCTAACAATTGGCATTTTATTTTTAAAACTGTCAAATACCTTATTATACGAGTCAGAAGTAGTTCTTCTGGGCGTAGAGCTATAGGAACGAGGACGGGAGGAGAATTAGTAGTAAGGAAGGAAAAACTGATCCAAGTGAAACTGTGTATGTGTCAACTGGTATCTAAGTGCACTTTGATCAAAGCTACTTTGTCAAAGTTGCCATGGAAGAATTTTGAGTGCACGGCATTTATCAAAAGCATGTGTGTATTCTATAACTCGTGGCGAGTGCGGTGCGTACTTTGGCGAAATAATGAAATGAAACAAGAAAAAATTCCACGCGGACCAGGCAGCAGACGGGACTCGAACCCTTGAACGGGAATTTTTTCTTGTTATATTTTCTTTAGATTTAAACATCAAGCAGTTACATGCTTTAAAAATAATAAAAATTATAACTATAATTGCTAATTCTTCTTTCAAATGTTTAATACTTGTAAAAGTATAGTATTCATTTGACATCGTGGGTTACCTATAATGCGAAGAGATGGCGCAGCCTTGCAGCTTAAGAATGGCTAGAAGAATTTCGACGCGGTCCGTGAGGGCCGCGGTAGCATAATTGGTCAGTGCATTCGCCCGGATTGCGAAGGGTGCGGGTTCGAGTCCCGTCTGCTGCCTGGTCCGCGTGGAATTTTTTCTTGTTATATTTTCTTTAGATTTAAACATCAAGCAGGTACATGCTTTAAAAATAATAAAAATTATAATGAAATGAAAATGAAAAAAATCTTTAATGCTTACAAGTTCCATATTTAAACATGTTGTTGAGTATTCCCTTTTAGGGGATACTCGCTCTTTCGTCAATTTTTACATTGAACTTTACTATAACAATTATTGACATTAAAATTATTTCCGAAACAAAATAAGACAAGTTCTAAATGATCCCGCCCCCTAGCATGAGCACCACAATTCACATTGTATCACGTGTCATATCGCGTCCAGCTGTCAAACTCCAAAGAATTTGACACCTGAGCGCGACAAAACATGCGTCACATATTTTATCGCGGTCCTCATGCCAGGGGCGAAGGCATCACACATTAACTATTTAAAGTATTAAACCATAAACTATTTAAATAGGGCTTAATTTCTTTACATTAGTAGCTAATTTTCAATATAATTATAAGCCTTGACGCAATGGATTAAGTTTTATATTTGAGTAAACATGGTATCCAAAACGACAAATTTCTTCTTCAAAATCTCCAAACAAAATAGAATTTATTATCTACTAGTGGCCCGCCCTCGCTTCGCTTTGGTGTAGAACTGTAGTGTAAACTATAGTTTTTGTTCTCAGGCTTGTGCTATAAACAATGACTTTATTTGTATAATTACACGTGTATCTTTTATGGTTGACTCACAATAATTGTGAGTCAACCATAAAAGATAGACATATGCTGTTCGGGATATTTTTTAGACAATTTTATGTAGAATATTTTCGTCATACATGATTTCTATGTAACTTTAACCAGTAAGGCTGCACACGCGACGGAAGCTTAAAAAATGGTGTAACTTCTCCCGTTTTCCCAACATTTCCCTTCACTTCTCTGCTCCTATTGATTGTAGCGTGATGAAAAGTATACTATAACCTGCCCAGGAGTATGAAGAATAATTGTACCAACTTTCGTTAAATTCCGTCGAGTAGTTTTTGTTTCTATAAGGAACATACATACATACATACAGACAGACAGACAAAAATTTTACTGATTGCATTTTTGGCATCAGTATCGATCACTTATCACCCCCTGATAGTTATTTTGAAAATATATTTCATGTACAGAATTGACCTCTCTACAGATTTATTATAAGTATAGATTGGGGAAATTTGACAGTTTGTGGTAATTTATGTGCCGCTAGGGAAATGTTTGCATTAACGTGGAGAGTCACCAGGATCCCACGTAACCCGTTCCGGCAGGCGAGGAAGCACTGTTGGGTTTTTAGTGGGTAGGTCCCACATAACCCCGCTTCTCACCCAGTAGCGGGGTATGCGTCAAGCATTATCCCAACAATTAAAAAAAGGCAAATGTTTGCACACGGGCGCTAAATGGGCTAGAGACGCCTTAGGGCGCAATCCTGTCAAGGGCCGCGCAGGTTAGAGACTTATGGCGCGATACACTTGGTCGTTAGCCCAAATACGAGTGCCAATGGATTTCGGGTAAGCAAATAAGTGTAAATGAACGGAGTCGAGTACGCCCGTTTCGGGTAGATTTCCTTTTTTTTTTTTTACAATGAATAGGCTTACGCTTGGCGGCCACGCGACTGATGAAAAGCGACGTAGCAGCCTAAGGTGGGACGCGCTTGCCTAGAAGAAACCGATTGACTCGCGACTTGAAGAGCCCCAGATTATAGGTGACTGGAAACAGAGATTCCGGCAAAGAGTTCCACAACCTAGCTGTTCTAACTATATAGGTGGAAGCAAACCGTTTAGTACGAGTTTGTGGGACCTCTACGGTATATCTGTGGCGTTTTGCCGTCTCTCTTTTGTTTACTTGTCACCCTCTTTCAGTCCTTATTCCAGTTTTAATATTGCTTCGGGTACCTGAAGTTGAGTAATTTCTTTCGTGCGCCCGAAGACGAGCTAACGACCAAATATAATCTATATATATAAAACTCAAAGGTAACTGACTGACTAACATAGTGATCTATCAACGCACAGCCCAAACCACTGGACGGATCGGGCTGAAATTTGGCATGCAGGTAGATGTTATGACGTAGGCATCCGCTAAGAAAGGATTTTGATCAATACTACTCCCAAGGGGATGAAATAGGGTATGAAAGTTTGTATGAAACTTTGTCAATTTTAAATCGATCGGGCCGAGACTTTGCATGCAGGTATAAGAGGAATCGTAGATAAAT